ACAAAAGTGACTAGTATGGCCCGAATAGGATAGATTATACGGACTGCGTTCCATTACGTATTTTTGTAAATCTAAATACAGACTGCGTGCCGTTAAGTATTTTGTACTTAGTTAATTTAGATTACTCCTAGTATCTAGTTCTTGCATGCTTGATGGTGAAATCACGAAAGACGGCGTTTCTTTAAAGATGGAGCCTAAAGGTGCCAAGATGACCTTGAAGATTGAAGATTGGATGCTTCAAGATATCTTTCAGGGGTCATGCTAGTTCACTATGCATTTCAGATATGTCGATTTATATTGCTTATATATATATATCTTGATATTTAGATGCATGTTTAGGATTTCAATGTTGAATGATTAGTTAAGTTCACTTAAATCAAACCAACATAGAAACCCTAAGTCCCTATAAAATTGAGTTAAAGAAATTGCCATTCCAAAATGAAACTTAACGAAACTTTGAGAGTAGGTAATGGGCTATGCCAAAGCAATGAATTACCACTTTCTTAGAGAAGTAAGGTATACTAGGTATACGCGTTAGTTTTGGTTAAACTCAACAATATCAGTAAGGAGTCCTTAGATATTGTGGCAAACGAGATAAGTGTCAAGAATGCGTTGGATGCGACGACTTATCAAATCAAGAATAGTTTAGAACTATTAGCAATTGGATTGCTTACCTTAAAATAATAAATGTTAAGACAAGCCAAAGCATGCTTAATCACTTATTGATTTTTGGGATCTTGGAATCATTTTATTCTCGCCTAAATGGGACAAACTTATAAATGTGTGAATAAAACGTCAATAAGATTGAATGTTGCAAGTATGCTTTAAATTTCAAACTTATTGGTTTTTGAATGGTTATTCATTGCAAATTATTTTCATTTGTAGTAGAATGTTTGCAACAAACACCAACAACAACCAGTTTTCTCTCCGCTCAATTCTCGACAAGGAGAAATTAAGCGGAACCAACTTTCTCTATTGGCAAAGGAATTTGAGGATTGTTCTTATGCAAGAACAAAAGGAATATGTCCTTGATGAGGAAATGCCTGACACTCCAAATGAGGAGGTCATATAGGCTGCCTTAAACCGGTGGATTGCTGCCAACTGGGATGTCGAATGCATTATGCTAGCCTCATTGTCTCCGGATCTTCAAAAGACATTTTTTTTTTGAGAAGGAGACCGCTTTTGAGACCATATCTAAACTTCAGAATATGTTTTAAGAGAAGGATAGGACTGAAAGGTTTGAGACCCATCGAATGCATTATGCTAGCCTCATTGTCTCCGGATCTTCAAAAGACATTTTTTTTTGAGAAGGAGACCGCTTTTGAGACCATATCTAAACTTCAGAATATGTTTTAAGAGCAGGATAGGACTGAAAGGTTTGAGACCCATCGACAAATCCTTGAGAGCAAGCTCAAGAAAGGAGAGCCCGTCAGCCCTCATGTGTTCAAAATGATTGGATTATTCGAGAACATGGAGAAGCTTGATGCGGGATACTCGAACGAGATGGAAATTGACATTATTCTCCACTCGCTGCATAAGGGTTATGATCAGTTCAAGATGAACTATAACATGCACAACATGGAGAAAACCCTTACGGAGTTTCACGGAATGCTGAAGCAGGCCGGGAAAACGCTCAAAGATGAGGGGAAGCATGACATGCTTATGGTAAAAAAAGGGCAAGCCATTTTAGCGATCAGGCAAGAAGAAGGGCTATAAGAGGAAGGGTAAGAAGACCTTTCTGCCTAAGCCAAAAGTTACCAAAGGCGACAAGCAAAAGAAGGTAGCCTTTTCTCCGTCTAACACCGAATGCTTCTATTGCAAGAAGAAGGGGCATTGGAAACGGGACTGCCTCAAGCTCAAGGAGGATAAGAAGAACGACACCGTTGCTTCTAGATTAGGTATATGTGTTATATACCTTAACTTTGCAAGCAATTCTTCATGGGTATTAGATACCGGATGTGGCTCACACCTTTGTTCCAATTCTCAGGGACTAAGGAAAAGTAGAAAGCTAGCGAAAGGAAAAGTAGAACTTTAGGTAGGCAATGGAGCAAGGATTGCAGCCGTATCTGTAGGAAAACTTAGTTTATCTTTGCCCTCGGGGCTTGTTTTAGAACTGGATGAATGTTATCATGTTCCAAACATTACCAGAAACATTATTTCAATTTCGGCGTTGGACGCCAAGGGTTTTGAATTTCGGATAAGATAATAATTTGTTTGTTTTATCTTGATAATGTTTTATATGGTACAACATATTCAGAAAATGATTTTTATGTGCTTTCATTAGATAAACAGGTTTACAATGTTGACAATACCGCCACAAGGGTTAAGACCAATGGGTCGAATTCAACTTACTTGTGGCATTGTCATTTAGGCCATATAAACATCAAACGCATCAAGAAACTTCTTGATGAAGGTATTCTTGATTCATTTGACTTAGATTCATTTGAAAACTGCGAAGGATGTTTACTTGTTAAAATGATAAAGCAACCCTTGTTCAAGTTTGGAGAAAGGGCAAGTGACTTATTTCGTCTCTTACACACGGATGTATGTGGACCAATGAGCACAACCGCAAGGAATGTTTATTGCTCTTTTATCACATTCACGGAGGACTATAGTAGAATGGTTATATATACCTAACATCGCACAAATCTGAATCCTTTAAAAAGTTCAAAGAATTTTAGAGTGAAGTGGAAAATCAGCTTACCAAGAAAATTAAAGCCCTTCAATTGGATCAAGGAGGCGAGTATTTGAGCTATGAATTTAATGATCATATGAAAGAACATGGTATTCTCTCATAATTGACACCTCCCAGAATTCCACAATGGAACAGAGTGTCCGAGAGGAGGAAACGAACTCTGTTAGACATGGTTCGATCCATGATGGGTCTTGCCGATCTTCCTATTTCTTTTTGGGGACATGCACTTCAAATTGCTTCACTAACACTGAACCGCGCTCCGTCAAAAGCTGTCGAAAAGACTCAATATGAATTATGGACGAAGAAACCTCCGCGGTTGTCATTTCTTAAGATTTGGGTTCAGAATCAATTACATTGTTAATTATTCAGTGAAGTCAAGTGATCGGAAAGTCGGGCCAGAGGCCATTTCCGATCAGTGAGATTAATTATATTAATCTCACAACTTTCCTTTTAACTGAACCCAACGGGTCACATCTTAGCGTGCAACAGAACTAAGGCGACGAATTAACCCAAAGGTCTTTAAACATCAAACAAGAGGACACGTGTTCCGACGTCGGATTCCGAGCTTAGAGCGTCGAAGCCAAACGTCAAACGTCGAGTTAAATTCTAGGAATTAACGAGACGTACAAATAAGTCAAACAACAATAAATAAGTCAAAGTGCGTAGCCTTAGCCTCGCATTGGCTTAGCCATTTGAGGGCTAGGTTAGCATGGACTACTGCAAGGCAAGCACTGGCTGCAAGCCTAGCTTGATGCGCGCACGCACTAGCTAGGGCTGCTGGCCGAGTGCATGCCACAAGCCTAGCAAGCCACTTACGCGGGCTGGTTGGGGTGCTGGCAGAGTGCGGGCTACGCTAGCAAGGCCAATGATAGACGGTCACACACCTAACAAAATTAACCTAACAAGACCACAACTATGTAGATAGGCAAGTAAGGATCGAATCGCAAGAGACTGTTGGTTTGACTAATTAAACAGACTCAAATAAATACTAAGCAAGTAACAACTATAATAGTGAGAACTAATAACTAAAGAGCTAAATAAAGCGATTAAATCTAGTAATATAATAAATCAAATGCTAAAAACATCTAAGATCAAGCATCACCACGAATACAATTAATGCAATAGTCGTTCTACCCTTAACATATAATTCAATTGATTCAGGAGGAAAAGTAATCCCTAAATGGTACCAATGGTCTCTCCCGAGTTATCAATGGCTTCTCTAATCACAAGCAAGCCTACTTCCGTGGAATAATGTAAATTACAGACTTTGAGAACAGTACTCTAACTTCCTAATCTTCCACTCAACTACTCCTGTGATGAACTTCAAATCCTTAATTGATTTATTCAAACCCGTTAAAACCCAACTCCCGTTGCAATTGAAACAATGGATTAATAACAATACTAATTATCCCTAATCTAGTATTGGCATGAGCACAATCAATTAAGCAAATCAATTGCAGTTATCATTAAAGAAATTAAAGAATTAAATCATGTATTAACCATATTCGGGTTCCGCTAGATCTTGGAATAAAGAATCTACTCACCCATGGTCATGATTTCAAGAATGATATTCAATAACGAAAACATAATTAACAATAATAAAATAAGAGAATTGAGAGAAGAAATCAATTTTTGGAATTAATTATGAAATCTTGAACCTTGAAGGCAAAACCCTAGGAAAATAATGTAAAAGAACGTAATACCAAAAAACTCTATATTAATATATGTAAAGGTGATAGATAAAAGACTATCTAAAATCTATTTATATCCTAGCATAAAACTAGGTATTTCTATCCTAATATGAGACCTAGACGCTGCTTAAATAGGCTGCCACAGGTGGGTTGTGGCACGGAGAAAACCGCCACAACCAGGCTGTGGAGCGGGCTGTCTTCGCTTCTCCTTTGCTCCAATAATAGACGCCTACAACCAGGTTGTGGCCAACAGGTAACACGCCACAACCAGGCTGTGGAGTAAGCTGCTAGGATGCTTTAGAATGCTGGAAACACTCCATATAAAGAAATATCTCGCGATCAAAACGAATTCCACGAAAATTGAGCCTTATTCCTACAAAAACAAAAACAAACAAACCAAGAAGAGCAATATTGAAATAGGAAGAATAATAACTCAAAATGATTAGGAGAATGAAGAAAACACAATAAAACATGACCATATAAATTGCATATAAATTGTGTATAATACCGTGTTATCAAATTCCCCCACGTGTATAATATTGTAAGAGTAGGAAAATTGGGTTGCCTCCCAAAGGCGCTTGTTTATAAGGTCTTAAGATTGACCTCCTTTTTGCTCAATTATCTTGTGATGGTGTCGAGAGTGTAGTCTCCACTCTTTCATCAATTGGATCACCTGCTCGATAGTGCTTCACTCTTTGGTCGTTCACCTTAAAGATATCCCCATTTTTATTCCATAGTTAAATAGTACCATAAGGATAGACTTTACAAACCTTGAATGGACCCGACCACCTAGATCAAAGCTTACAAGAAAACAGTTTCAATCTTGAGTTGAATAAAAGGACTTGATCTCCTTCCTTAAGTTCTCTTCTCACAAGACCCTTATCATGCCACCTTTTGGTCTTTTCTTTGTATGACTTCGTACTTTCATAGGCTTCAAGACGGAGCTCATCTAGCTCATTTAATTGTAACAATCTCTTTTCACCCACTGGTTGAGCATCGAAATTTAAACTCTTAATAGCCCAAAAAGCTCGGTGTTCTAGCTCGACTGGTAGGTGGCACGCCTTTTCATACACAAGTCTATATGGGGTTGTACCAATTGGCATTTTAAAGCCGTTCGATATTCCCATAGTGCATCGTCAATCTTGACCGACCAATCCTTTCTTGTCCTTGCAATCGTTTTCTCTAGGATAGATTTAATTTCTCGATTGGACACTTCAACTTGACCACTAGTTTGTGGATGATAGCCAATGGCAAGCCTATGTTGTACTCCATATTTCTTCAATATCGCTTCGAACCAATGCTCTAAGAAATGTGTTCCCCTGTCACTAATCAACACATGTGGTAAGCCAAAACGAGGGAAAATAACTTTCTTGAAAAACTTACTTACCACACGAGCATCGTTGGTTGGAGTAGCAATTGCTTCAAACCACTTTGAGACATAGTCAACGACTACTAAAATATATCGATTTCCATAGGAAGAGAGGAATGGTCCCATGAAATCTATCCCCCACATGTCAAACAACTCGACCTCGAGTATGTTATTGAGTGGCATCTCGTGCTTCCTTGAAATATTACCGGTTCGTTGACAACAATCACAAGCCTTGACATATGAATACACATCCTTGAACAAAGTTGGCCAATAGAAACCACATTGTAAAATCTTTGCGGCCGTTTTCGTAGGACCTGCATATCCACCACAAGGTAAGTCATGGCAATGAGAAATAATGTTGCTTACCTCTTCTTCCGGAACACATCTTCTGATCATTGCATTCGCACATAGCCTATAAAGGAATGGATCATCCCATAAATGTCGCCTTGCCTTTCAAAAGAATTTCTTCTTTTGTTGAGACGAGTAGCCGTGGGGTAGTGTACCTGTGGACAAGAAGTTAGCTAAATCAGTATACCAAGGTGATTCAATTTTAGAGAGTGTTAATAAATGTTCATCAGGGAAAGAATCATCAAAAGGGAGGTCGTCGCCGTCCCCATTATTGAGGAGGAGGCGAGAAAGATGGTCTGCAATGACATTCTCAGCCCCTTTCGTGTCCTTTATCTCAATGTCATAATCTTGCAACTGAAGGATCTAACGAATCAACTGTGGCTTGGCGTGACTTTTACTCATTAAATATCTCAATGCTGCACGATCTGTGTGAATTATTACCTTTGAACCAACTAGGTAAGAATGAAACTTGTCTATTGCATAAACTACCGCTAGCATCTCTTTTTCAGTTGTGACATAATTCATTTGAGTAGGGCTAAGAGTTTTACTAGAGTAATAAACAACATGAAGTTTTCCATCCTTTTGTTTCCCCAAAATGGCCCCTACCGCATAGTCACTAGAATCACACATAATCCCAAATGGTAGTGTCCAATCTGGGGGTTGCATAACAGGAGCGGAGATCAAAGCTTCCTTCAACCTGTTAAAAGCCTTAAGATAAGCATCAGTAAATACAAATGAGGCATCCTTGGCCAAAAGCTCAGTTAGAGGTCGAGTGATTTTTGAAAAATCATTAATAAATCGTCTATAAAATCCTGCATGACCAAGAAAACTCTAAACTCCTTTTACAGAGTTAGGAGGGGGTAGTCGCTCAATTACCTCTATCTTTACTTTATCAACCTTAATACCCTTATGTGATATCACATGGCCTAGAACAACTCCCTGTTGTACCATAAAATGGCATTTTTCCTAGTTCAAAATTAAATGACTTCTTGACATCTATGGAGCACCTTTTTCAACTTTTCAAGACATACATGAAAAGATGTTCCATAGACAGAGAAGTCATCCATAAAAACTTCCATTGAATTTTCAATAAGACTTGAGAAAATTGCCATCATGCAATGCTGGAACGTGGTTGGAGCATTACATAATCCAAATGGCATTCTTCGATAGACTAAGGTGCCATAGGGACATGTGAAAGTGTTCTTTTCCTAATCACATGGACGGATGAGAATTTGAAAGAAACCAGAGTATCCATCCAAGTAGCAGAAAAAGGAATGCTTAGCCAAACGTTCAAGCATCTGATCAATAAAGGGGAGGGGAAAATGGTCCTTTCGGGTGGCCTTATTCAACCTTCTATAACCAATACACATTCGCCAACCTGTAACAGTTCTAGTGGCGATTGGCTCACCCTTGTCATTCTTGACAACGATCATACCCCCCTTCTTTGGAACTACTTGTACATGACTAACCCACTTACTATCTGAGATAGGGTAAATTATTCCTGCAACAAGCAATTTAAGAACCTCTTTTTTGACTACCTCCATCATATTTGGATTAAGTCTTCTTTGAGGTTCTATAGAGGAGGCATGATCGTCCTCTAGAATGATTTTATGCATACAAAAAGAGGGATTAATACCCTTAATATCAACAATGGTATACTCAATAACACTTTTATATTTTCTCAGAACAGTGAGCAATTACTCTAATTTTGTGTCACTAAGCTCAGCATTAACAATAATAGGATATTTATTATTAGGACCAAGGTATGCACATTTAAGAGTAGAGGGAAGGGGTTTCAACTCTACCTCGGGAGGCGTAGTACTCTCCCTAAAACTCGATGCACTAAGGACTTCCTTCACTGAAGCGGTGATTGGATTGGCTTTTGCTTCCTCAAGTAGCCGTGTGTACTCCCTTGTTTCCCAATCTTCATGATTGGCACTCCCCATTAACACCGTTTCAAGTGCATCATCTGTTTTAATCAAGGGAAGTTGATCACGTTGTAAATCATCAAGGACGTCCACTTGACAAATAGTCTCTCCCATGGAAGGAGTTCCCATAGCATTCAAGAGTGAATACTCTATTTTCTCGTCGCCTACCTCAAAAGTGATTTTACCATTCTTCATATCAATGATTGCACCTGCAGTGGCTAAGAATGGTCTACCAAGAATAACAGGAACATATGCATCCTCCTCCATCTCCATCACAACAAAGTCATATGGAATAAAGAATTTTCCCACACGAAGAGGAACATCTTCAAGTACACCCAAAGGAAACTTAATTGACCTATCCGCAAGTTGTAAAGATATGCGTGTAGGATTTAGTTCACCCATTTGAAGTTTCTTGCAAATAGAGAGCGGCATAAGACTCACACTTCCACCAAGGTCACATAGTGCCCTGTTGATCTCTATGTCTCCAAGTTTCACCGGAATTGAGTAGCTACCCGGATCGCCTAGTTTCTTAGGAAGTGTGTTTTGCAAAATTGCACTACACTCTGCAGTCAACGCAAGTGTAGCATTCTCCTCAAGCTTCTTCTTGTTAGAGAGAATATCCTTTAAATTTTTTTGCATAAGATGGCATTTCGGATATTACATCTAAAAATGGAATGTTGATGTGAAGCTTTTTCAGAATATCAAGAAATTCTCCATACTTTTTCTCTAACTTAGCTTGAGTCAACTTTTGTGGAAAAAGAACCTGTGGCACATATGGAGCAAGTGGTGGTGGAATCGATGCCCTTGGCTCTTTCTCAATCACACTAATATCAACTTCCTTCTCATTTGTGACTACCTCTTCAACAACCTCCTTTGATGGCTTCCTTACGGGAGGATCTTCCAACTGCTTTCCAGTCCTTAAAGTCATGACATTCATATGCCCCTTTTGTGGTTGCTTTGTTTGACTTGGAAAGGTACCTGGAGTCTTTGAAGATTGGCCAACTTGATGAGCAAGTTGACTTATTTGATTTTCCATGAGCTTGTTCTGAGTTTGTAGTTGTTGGATGGAATTGTTTGTTGCGGTAATGAAGTTCTCCATCATTATATCAAGGTTGGTTTTTTGCGGAGGTGGTTGCATAGGTTATTGGACTAGAGGTGACCTTGCTTGGAAGCCAGGTGGTGCATTATAATTGTTGTTTCGAGGTGGTGGTGGAGGAAGATTTTGTTGGGCTTGGGTATTCTTGTAGGAGAAATTTGGATGATGTTTCCACCCTTCATTATATTTGTTTGAATAAGGGTCATATGGCCTTTTGGAATTCGAAGTGTAAAATGCATTGGCTTCCTCGATCGACATCTCATTCGAGTTTTATGGACAATTAGGTGCAATGTGACCTTGTACATTACACATTTGACAAGTTTCAGGTGAGCTAGAAAATGATCCAGCTTGGAGCTTGTCAAACTTGCTTGTCAATGCCTACACAGAACTAGTCAAAAGAGTTAGAGCATCAACATCAAATTTTCCTCCCTTCTTCACACTATTTCGGCCTCCTGGATGATAATTGTCATTAGCTGCCATCTTCTCAATTAGCTCCTTCGCCCCAGTTGGGTTCTTAGTCAAGAGAGAACCCCCAAATGCAGCATCAATATAGATTCGGAACTCATGAGTTAAGCCATTATAGAAGGTTTAGATCAACATCCATTCAGGAATACCATTGTGAGGGCATTGTCTCTGCAATCGCTTGAATCTCCTCCATGCTTCATATAGGGACTCATCATCTGACTGCCTGAAAGTAGATAAGTCGTTTCTCAACCTTACAGTCTTTTCCTATCCCAAGAACTTGACTAGAAAATCTTTCACCAGTTTATCCCATGTTTTAAAAGAGCCAGTACCCTCATCTCTCAACCATTCCTTTTCCCTATCCTGTAATGAGAAAGGGAAGAGGCGAAGTCTAATAGCATCATCTGTAACACCATTTAACTTCATAGTATCGCATTTCTCCAAGAAACTATCAATGTGACTCACTGGGCAATCATGAGGTGTGCCTGCAAACGAATCATTGGAGATGAATTGAATGAACCGTGGTTTCAATTCAAAGTTTCGAGCAGTAACGGGTGGTTTGACAATGCTAAAGAGGAGTCCGGTTGTTGTATCAGGAATACCGTACTCCAAAAGAGATTTTGTTCTTGGGTAGTCCATGTTTTTATTGTTTTGATTTCTCCTTCTTCTTCTACCTTTTCGTCTCCTTGCAGTTGCTTCGATTTCAGAATCAAAAGGTGTTAAATCGTCTGACCCTAAACGTCGTGTTTGTATGCAACAAAGAACTAAAATCAGAATATAAAAAATACAAGAGACAATAGCCAAAGCAACAAAAGATTTGTAAAAACAAATCACGAATAATTAGAATGAAACCGTTAGTCCCCGGCAACGGTGCCAAAATTTGATAGGCGGTCGCACACCTAACAAAATTAATCTAACAAGACCACTACTATGTAGATAGGCAAGTAAGGATCAAATCGCAAGAGACTGTTGGTTTGACTAATTAAACAGACTCAAATAAATACTAAGCAAGTAACAAATATAATAGTGAGAAATAATAACTAAAGAGCTAAATAAAGATATTAAATTTAGTAATATAATAAATCAAATGCTAAGAACATCCAAGATTAAGCATCACCACGAATACAATTAATGCAATAGTCGTTCTACCCTTAACATATAATTCAATTGATTAACGAGGAAAAGCTATCCCTAAATGGTACCAATGGTCTCTCCCGAGTTATCAATGGCTTCCCTAATCACAATCAAGCCTACTTCCGTGGAATCATGTAAATTAAATACTTTGAGCACAATACTCTAACTTCCTAATATTCCACTCAACTAATCCCGTGATGAACTTCAAATCGTTAATTGATTTATTTAAACCCGTTAAAACCCAACTCCCGTTGCGATTGAAACAATGGATTAATAACAATACTAATTATCCCTAATATAGTATTGGCATGAGCAAAATCAATTAAGCAAATCAATTGCAGTTATCATTAGTGAAATTAAAGAATTAAGTCATGCATTAACCATATTCGGGTTCCTCTAGATCTTGGAATAAAGAAACTACTCACCCATAGTCATGAATTCAAGAATGATATTCAATAACGAAAACATAATTAACAATAATAAAATAAGAGAATTGAGAGAAGAAATCAATACTTGGAATTAATTATGAAATCTTAAAGGCAAAACCCTAGGATAATAATGTAGAAGAACGTAATACCAAAAAACTCTATATTAATATATGTAAAGGTGATAGATAAAAGACTATCTAAAACCTCTTTATATCCTAGCATAAAACTAGGTATTTCTATCCTAATAGGACTCCTAGATGCTGCTTAAACAGGCTGCCACAGGTGGGTTGTGGCACGGAGAAAACCGCCACAACTAGGCCGTGGAGCGGGCTGTCTTTGCTTCCCCTTTGCTCCAATAATAGACGCCCATAACCAGGTTGTGGCCAACAGGTAACACGCCACAACCAGGCTGTGGAGTAAGCTGCTAGGATGCTTTAGAATGCTAAAAATCCTCCATATAAAGAAGTATCTCGTGATAAAAACAAATTCCACGCAAATCGAGCCCTATTCCTACAAAAACAAAAACAAACAAACTGAGAAGAGCAATATCGAAATAGGAATAATAATAACTCAAAATGATTAGGAGAATGAAGAAAACACAGTAAAACGTGACCAAATATCGCATATAAATCGTGTATAATATTTTGTTATCAACCAACAACAAGCAAGCTTGCTGGGCCACGCTAGCTGCTGTTAGTGCTAGCACGCAAGGCCTGCTAGCTTGCGCACAACAGCCCGCAAGTGTGCAAGGCTTGCTGGTGAGGCAAGCAGCAGTGTGGGACTTGCTGGCCGACCTAGCCGAGAGTACAAGGATACCAGCAAGGCAGCCGCCAGCTAGGCTTCACCTTATTGGTGTATTTGGTGGCTTGGGGAGTAAGAAAGCAAGTGGTCCTCCCTTGTGGTCCTCACCTAACCGTCCCATAGGATTTCCACTTGTTGTTTGATTATTTGTTTTGTGCATTTTAATTTATTTTAGAATTAAATTAAATGTAATTATTTCTTAACTTTGCAAAAGTCCCACATTGATGAAATATCAAGGGGATGGAGATACTTATCCTATAAATACACAAGGCTTACCTTGGGAATAAATTGCAAGAGTTGAACTATATAAAAGGCATCTGCATTGAGAAAACCTTATAAAGAGATCCTCTTGTTAGTAGTTAATATTACCCTAGCCGGTAATATTGACCAAAGTTTGGGCACGCAGGTGGACCTCGTTGGAGGAGTCGCATTTGAGGCTCTAGCTCCGTTCGTGGGTTCATGTTCGTGCTAGGTTGAAAACACGCTTCAAGGGTATGAACGTATTTTCCCTCCTCTCTCTCTCTTTCTCTCTTTCATTCTCACTCTCTCTCTCTCTCTCTCTCTCTCTCTCTCTCTCTATTATGTGTTTATTGTTTTATTAATTATATGCATGTTTTAGTTTAGTCGCCTTAATTTGTGCATGGGTCCTTGGGCGAGTTTTGGTTTCGCGCGATGTTCGCACACTTTGAAACCCAACACTTATGAGAAGTCTGTTTCTAGAAATAGGTGGTGCCGTCTGTGGGGATCGAACCCACGACCACGTCTTCTTCGTCTTCTAAGCCCGAAAATACTACTAACAATGTAAGCCGGTACGACTTCAATGAAGTGCTAGCTCTTGATGCTCCTCTTCCTAAGAAAAGGAGAACTTACACTCCTTTGGGAATGACATATGACGTTGACTTTGATCACCTCTACAGTCAAGGCTTGATTACACCTATTGGACCATTCCTAGAGCCAAAACCTGAAGAAAGGAGTGCCAAGTGGAATCCCAATGCCCACTGCAAGTTCCATCAAGGAAGGGGCCACACAACCGAGCAATGCTGGAATTTGAAGGATGCTATTCAAGATCTAGTTGATGCGAACAAATTTCCTGTTCCTCTAGGAGGCAAGAAGTAATGAAGACAAGGCACACGACAAGTCTTTCGTGCAAGATTTCATGCTTTCTTTCTTTTTTATTCAATTCCATTCCCCATATTATGTCTCGCATAGGTTTTCCATTTCGAAGTTTCTATGTGTTTGTTCACCTTTTCCATTCATCAAATGAGCATTTTTTTCCTTTACATCTCGAACATATCACTTTTCATAAAAAAAAAGCAATCAATCGCCGAACCAAACACAAGGTATACCAATGAATTGAGGCACCTTTGCAAGCACTTTTTCTTCCCGTGAATTATTCAAACACATATTCAATTATTTCATTAACCATTTTGAGCCTCGTCTAACGATCGACCTTTATTTATTCAACCCACATGCACCTAACCTTGCGATGGGAAGGTGTGTAATTTGTGTAACATCCAAAAGCAAGTTCAAAAGAAAATGAAAAAAAAATATTAAAGAAATAGAAAAAAATAAAACGATGGCTAAGGGCAAGTGTTCCAATGTCTTTGATATGAACACGTTTCGAATTATGTCTCTCATTGAGTGCTCGGTACCGTGCCTTAGAAACGTGAATGCCAAGTGAGTGGTGGACCGCATGATCTAAATATTGCCCACATTGATTCAAAAGAATGAAAAAAAGAAAAAAATGTGAAAAAAAACTTGCATATTAAATTTTCAAATACACAATTGCACATCTTGGGGGCTTCCCTCGGGTCTTGAGCCTTTCATCCCTTCTTCTTTAAACCATCAGCTTAACCAGGTTACAACCCTGAAAGACTTCTTTGAGGTGTACATACACTTGTGCTGTTAGATTTCGTAGCGTCCAACGCTACGCGAAAGAGAAACCCGCCCAAGACCCGCTCACTAACTAAAGCAACTAAATATTTAATCACATAATTAACAACATAAGAGAGAGAAAAGGAAATGACATTCTTACCCTCGACACGTGCTTCGCTCGTATAGAGCTCGGACTTCAAAGCCTTAGCTCCGCAAGAGCGACAGCCTCCGACGGAGTCCGCCCTCGAAACCCGACCCGAACGGTCTCTACCCCGAAGGTTAGTCGGGGCTAGACCAAGAAAA